TATTTCTTTTAATAATTATTAAATAGATAAATAAATAAATTCATGGACCAATCAAATTGAAGTCTTTTTTTCCAAGACTCTCTCTCCTAATTATCTCTTTAAATTTTTATTAAGAGATAAGTATTGGAAATTATGGACTAATCAAATTGAAGTCTTCTTTTCCAAGACTCTCTCTCCCAACACCTATAAATAGGGCTCTCCCTAATGTGAAAAAAAGACACAATTCATATTCAAGTTCAAGAGCTCTAGAGAATTCTCTCCACGAGATTCAAGTGTTCTTGAAAATCCAAAGGCGTTCTTGAAGATCCGTATGAAGATTCAAGCACGTTCAAGTCCAAAACCGACGTTCAATCCAGAAACAAGCTGTCAAGCCTCCAAATTGCGTTGTTAAAGTTTATGTGTTTTGAAAATTCAAAGGCGTTCTTGAATATTCGAATGAAGATTCAAGCACGTTCAAGCCCAAAACCGATGTTCAATCCGGAAACAAGCTGCCAAGCCCCCGAATCTATATATATATAATTGCTGGCTAATTAGCATTTAATAAAACCTATTAAATTATATCTATGTGGCAAAATTTCATTTTCCCTCCAAAAACTGTTACTTTTTATTTATTTAACTTTTCATTTATTTATTAGATAATCAACACACTAATCACTTCAAAATACAAAAATCATTTTAAACTTTTGATTTACGTACAACTGACCATATAATGTGTTGATTATTTAACGTGTTTAGATGTTATTGTTGTGGTTACGATTAAATGAACTTCTTTTGAAAATAAAAAACGTATTTAAAATTCCTAAATAAATAATAAACAATTCACAAAAAATACATACCAAATATACATTACATCAAATATGATAAACGTAATTTAAAAAAATAAATATTCCAGCTCTTTTAAATGTAAATTTGGGCTGCGAAAAGTGCAAGAAAAATTATTAATCATTATATGCATACAAATAACTCATAATACTTTATTCATATATGTGCAAATGCACAAGTCGAATACTAGTTACGTTATTAAAGTCAAGAACGGCGTAGAGAAGATCAAAATCAACTTTGTGGCGAAGACCAAGGATTCTTTTTCTTCACGTTCTTGGGAAATCACGAAGTTCGATTCGACATCAAGCTGTCAAGCCCTCGAAGAAACGTTATTTAAATCCATATTCAAGACCGGCGGAGATCAAACTGAAGATTCATCTCCAAAAGTCTCAAGTCCATTTGAAGATTG